TCCGCACGCCCATGTAATATCCTCTATATATAATAAATATTTCAAAASCGCAAAAGAATGATGCGACTGTAAAGTTAGTTATTCATTACCAAACTGTATATAACAAATGTTCTAAATGTCTTTGGAATTTCACTAGAATTACACCTTTGTGCACTGTAAGCCACCAGCCCTCGCTGAACTATGGTTAACTGAATATACATTTGTAATACAGTGTTTCTAACAATTAGACCTTTMCCATTTAGCGGAAAATTCGACCAATTTTCCGGGTTGAGATTTTTCCGAGTGAGTGAGTGTCAAAAGTAACACCTTTAAAAAGCAATTCTTGATCTTTTGTATTTAATTGTAAAATCTGAAAATTACACTTTACCATTTCTTTCACAGCACCCGTCCTGCTATTTTAGGGTCTATTTACAGGTGGTAGGAWAGCCTAGGTGTGTAGGGCTAGCTAATTTTTTCTTTTCCCTGTTTTTTTTAACAAAAGAGTTAGCTTTCTTAGCTGATCCACTCCATGCAAACAGGCTCTTAGGATATTCAAAAGGAGTATTAAGTCACGTTCTTTTTATTTCAGTTTTCAGCAAGAAATCAAATTTGTATCATAATTCCGTATAATTAATTCCTTAATCTACGCAAAAATATCTTTCTTCTGTTTGAAAGAAAGCCACAAGTAGAAACCACATATGGAAGAAAGAGTCGTTTGTGCCTGAATTTAGAGTTGATCGATGAATAAATTTTCATAAATCCTATGTTATGCTCTATTTGTGTTCTAACAGAACGAAGTGCTTTATTGGCTTTTCTTTGTCTTCTATTTCGAGGAATTCGTCTAGGCACCATCAGTGGAACTCTAGCAGCATATATCCCGTCAGCAAGAAGCCGAGCTCTTTGTGGGAGTGCACGAGCCATTCCATAGCCAATTCGAGGTAGGAGTTGAAAACATTGGGCATCATTCATATGGCCAGGAAATCTGCAAGGAAAAAAAAATATGAAAGAAAATAACCGATCTATCAACCGAACAAGTAGAACATACCCCGAAACCAGCATCACGATCAAACCATTTGTGTCTACAACGACTTGAGAAGACATAAAATGGCATTTTTTGTCACCGCGATAGAAGCGGGCTTGTTCACGACCAGAGGGACGATTTATGTGATGAATTGTTCCATCTATCATCCCTACAACGCGTGGAAAACGCGGAAATGTGTTTAGAAATTGACGTCATTTCTGCATGTTGTGCCATGTGATGTAGTGTCTGTAGTTGAGGAACAATATTGGGACGATGTGGTAGATTTCTTCGGTAAAGTCTTGTTGTGCCCTTGTGTTKGTAATATCGTAAAAATCATCATTAGAAAATTGAAGTTCAGGTTGAGGAATATTGGCGGCGGAGGTATCATATGTAGTGGACGGTAATTATCTAGCTTTACCACAAGCAATAGCGAATAAAACAACAGGAAATAAGTATAGACAAGAAATGTTGGTGGTGGAGGAATCGGAACCGGCATAATGTAAGGCAAAGATGTAATGCGTAAAGGCACGGTATCAATAAGAAAATATTGCGTTATGATTCTGAAGGTTTCTTCATAAATAATTGTTTGCTATGTATACAAAGAGCAAGTGTTAATGATATTTTCTCATATCAGAACCTTGTGACTATGTCCAAAATTGCTTGTAAGTTTCCGTTTATCATTGATTCCATACACTTCACACATAAAATAACCAGCGCCTCTGCCACGCGGATCTCTGATCTTGTGAGAACTGATATCATTGTAATCGTTACAAAAGTATTGTCCGTTCTTGCACTGTGACAAATAATGGCAGTTTATAATTTTGTATAAACAACATCCATAGAATGATATCTAGATTGCAAGGTTTTGCATGTTCTATGTGAATAAGGATTATCCTACAGCATTAATATGTATAGTGGCACGCTTTTGTAAACTATAAATTGGTTGTTCTTTCATTCATCWTCGCTGCCTATTCAGTTTAGTGTATTGACAGCGTCCCGCATGGAAAATATATTTCTTCGAGCAGCGTTGAGTGGTGAAATAACGGCACCACCAACGCTGCCCAAGCAGCTGAAGCGTCAAAAGGTCCAAAAGCCAGCAAAGCAAGCTGCAAAGCGGTGTAAACACAAATACTCCGAAATAGAAGATTTAATGTTATTAAAGGCAGTGGAAAGCAAAGGAAGAGACTGGAGGGCGGTTATTCAGTACATGAAAAAGCATTGTGAGSTCTTTGGTAAAGAGGGAGAAACATTTTACGGCAATTGCGCAGAAAACGACAAAAAAATGCACGAACGTCTGAGAAAACGTTTTTCTTTSCTCAGCGACGATAAGAAAAAGTAAGTAGCGAAAGCAGCTTCATTAATTTTGTCCACTTGCTTCTCCATTCGATRCATCTCGTTTCTTTAACAATAAAATTACTTTTTCGCAGAGACGACTCCTCCACTGTGTCATTTGTAGAAGACGAATACCGTGCCGGAGAAA